ATCAAATTTATTTGATTTACCACATTAATAATGATGCCAGGGTAAGTGTTGCAGTTTGAAATGAGTTAACATACAACGATTACTTTCGAAAAATTACATTTTACCATTTCAACAGTCATACAAAAGTTTGAAGCTGATCGAAAAGCAAATCTGCTCTACGATGCACCCTTCCCAAAACTTAGGAGGGTTGGAGGTGTTGGAAGACAGGTTGCTTGCCCAACAAGCAGATCAGATGAAGGCGCTGCAAAAAGTGGTCAAGAATTGTCCCTGCAGAAAAGAGTTTAAGCAAGAGGTGAGCTCAGACCATTTTGGTGAATTATTGGTCACTTGTTCAGGCAAGTTTTTATTGGTTCTTTCTGTGGGTGTCTTTTGGTTTGTTCTTTACCATGAATATGAATTTACTGCTTGTATCATTTTGTTCCTTTCTGTTTGCTTTCGCCGTAACTGTATTTGTTTTTATGGCATGAATAATGATTTTAATTTTTGGGCTTTTCATTTCTAAAAACTTCTATAAACCAATTATAAAGCTTTGGTTAATACTAACGTGTGACTTCTTTTTAAACAAAGTTTTTGCTTCATACTCACTGAAGTTTTTCTCCTCATCTTAACTCTGTTCTCGCACCTAATATGAAATTTGAGGTTTTAGAATATTTGTTTTGATATAGAGGCAAGAAAGTGTTAACACAAAGACCATTAAAGACCGACAGAAAATAACGTGGAAGTGAGTATTATATCGTACTTTTCAGAATTCTATACATATAATTCTGTTTAAGTCCTTGTACATGTATAAGTCTCTTTTTAAAAGATCAACTGTACTGTAAACTTCAGAATTCTTGTTTCGATTTTGGTCCCTACTCATGGATTCTGTAATACTTAACTAAAGTTTCATTCGGTTATTAGTTAGTAATAAGACATTCCATTGCATAGTTGTAATTGGATTTAATTCTAAACAGGGAACTAATTTTAAACAAACACACCATACACACTTCCATCTTTAACTATCTTTTTAAATTTTCCCAGTAGTTATATGAAGACTCTGACAGAACTGGAGAAGGAAAACAGGCAACTTTCTCTGGATCTGCGACTAGCACGGTTAGTCTTGTAAACCCACACATACAAAAAATACTTGCTCACAAAAAATACTGCTTGGATCAAGATTCAAACTTTTTTATAATCCGCTTTTCATCCCACACACGTACATATCCCACAAAGCCACCAAGGAAACACTTTTATTGGTTAGCCTGCTCAATGGCAACGAGTCAACTTTTGATGTCATCTTGGGCCCTGAATTAACACATTCTTATCAACTACATCACATCTGGTTTTCTTCTTTCAGTGAGTCTCTGGAAACGAGCAAGCAGGAGTGCTGGAGATTGCAGGGGTCTCTGCAAGATGCCTCTCTGAGGGAGACAGAGCTGACTGGTACCCTCAGGCAGCTACAGGACCAGCTCAAGATTGAGGTTGAGATGCAGGCCACGCTAGCCAAGAGGTTAGACAAATTTTAAAAACAAACAAAGCAAGATGAAAAAACAATAGAAACATCTTTTCAAGTTTTGACCCAGCAGAGGAACACTTCATTCTACTTGCTAAGGAATTACAGAAGAAAGTTGTTTTTGACTGATGTTACAAGTCTGTCCAACTGAATCCAGAAAAAAGTCATTTGAGTTTAGTCCTATTAATTACCTTCACATCAGGCCGTAGTCACTTTCGTATGGACTTGCAAATTCTGGGGAAGGTTAGATTCAGTGCTCCTCAAGTCCCCTCGTTTCTCTGGATAAATATTTAATTCTTGAAATTTTTCTTGCCAATCTTGTAGATCTGAGGATCAAGAGGCAGAGATATTCAGGCTGAGAAGAGTCCTGGGGAAGCAGTCCATCAAGGAGGATGCATCAACCAACTCCTCCCAAGAGCAAAACACGAAGTAGGTTTCAACTTGTATTTCTGTAGTTCCAATTCCACAGAAAAATTGAATTCTAACTTCTACAGAGCATATAGTGCCCGGGCTCACCTGGAAAGCATTCATCTAATCTTTTTACCTCTTGTAAACATGAAAGCCTTTAAGAAAACCTACCTGAAAGAAAGTCTGATTATTCCATTTTCTCACCTGACAAACTGTGTTGACAAAAACCTTGCTTTTCTTCGAAGCTGTAAGATGTGTCACTATGAAGTGATAACATTCGAGATTTAAGCAGTAATGTTTTATTCACCTCAGCAAAAGATTCAGAAATGTGCATAAGTTGTCAATGGCGACATTTTGGATCTGATTTTGATTTATATCGCACCATATGCTTGGACCAAGTGGACTGAATGAGATGCTGACAGAATTCAGCCGTGAGATACAGGACCATCTTGAGAGCCATATGGAGAAAACACAACTCCAAAATGAGACAGACGACAGGAAAAAGGTACACTGTCTACTTCTCATTTACACCACTGCAGTTTATGGCACTGTGACCAATCACCCATCCTCACAACAGATGTTTCATGAACAAAGTCTCTCAGAAAAATCCTATACAGCTGCACGTTCAATAACAAATTTCACTGAATGGTAACCTTATGTGACTTATACATATTTTTTTGCTTCTATCACACATTTTCTGTCCTTTCTTGCATCGCTTCTTTCCTCATTGAAAATGCATTACATTACTTACGCATTGATCTGCTTATTGACTTTCCATTACTACCCTTTTGCAGAACAACCGTCTGGCATACTTTTGCAAATGTTTGAAGGCTCAATGAGTTCTCTCGGACTTTCTCGCAAGTAACTATCTAAAACTTTCTGCCTTGGTGGTCTAACAAAACTCCTTAGCTAGCTTAAGCTCAAGCCAGATTTCCTTTGACAGCAGCAGTTAAAAACTTTTCTATTAATTTAGCACACTGTTTCAACCTCTAGATCCAAGAACTGGAGTGGCGGTTGTCCAGCATGAATGCAAAGCTCTCCGTGGATGAGATAACTATCCAGTCACTAACTGATGACAATCGTAGACTGAGGACCATGGTCTACAAACTCAAAGAACGCATTGCAAACAACCAAATGTAAAATCATTTTTAAACGTTTAAAAGGGGAGGATGAAAAAATCCTCATCATATCAAATCTATCTTTGTAGGGACTTGGTTACTCTGGGTAATGCATGGTTAGATGTGGCAAGGAATGGGTTTTGGGAGTTGACAATATGAAAGTGGTCACTAGGTAAGGGTTCACCTAAAGTATGGCTCAGCAAGTAGGTTAAGCTCAATCTACCTATCTGCCTTTGCAAAATTGGAATATTTCTGGGAACATTGCTTTATATGTTCCAGTTGGGAATACCTGATTTTCCCACTGAAATCAGCTCTTAGGAACAGTGGTCTTGGGACCGGCCCCTAGGCTGGGGGGGATCGAGGGGTTCGAACAACCCCCCCCCCACCCCCGCTCGCTTCTGAGTTTCGCTTGTTGGTTTGGGGTTTTTTTGTGTACCGAATATTTTAAATATAACGTAATATTTGGCATATGAGCCACGGCTTATATGTTGATTCTCAAGCTCAAGGTGACCCCAATTGTGCATATTAATGAATCAATCTATAGTCATATGTACCGTCAGGAAGTTCCAGCAAATATCCACATTTCAGGTGTTTCAAAAGGTTCCAAATCAATGTATTTTTGTTAGTTTTTTTCAGTGTATAAGTCTTACATGCGACCTTTGGTTCGCGACAGACATGCAACTTTTTTAATATTGTTTTCCAAAGCACATTGTGATAGGTCTTTGTATAAAAATGTGTTCACAGTGCCAAAGTCCCCCCCCCCTCTGGTCAGGCAATGGGCCTGTGGGATCAGCGTGTTCCTCATTGGAGCCCAGTGAATGCCCCCCAGGAACATGGGGTTCCCTAAAGGTACATGCCAGACAATGGAGAGTTGAGACACTGCCTTTAGTTACAAACTTTTGGTGAATGTGGACTGGGTACTGAACGTACACAAAACCTCTTCAAGAAATAATGTATTAAATGGTCCTTTATTCTTGTGTGCTCATTTTCCTTCAAGGTCCCATTTCAAAGACAGCAGAATGGATGCTGTGTATCAAGCCCTAGCCAGAGCCCAAGTGCGAGTCGTAGCAACGTCCATGGCAGATGGCACACAGACTATACTAACAGGAGCCAATGTTTTCAGCAACATGGCCATGACGGGCCTGGGTGCAAGGAGACTGGTTACAAGACATCCCATGGGAAGTGCAGGTAACAGTTTGGGAGATTCCTACGACTGAAAGTGAATGTGCAGACATGTTACTAAGTTAACTTTGCAATTGATTGGCCTTTGTACAAACACAGGCTGATCTTGAACAAAAGTGTCAGGAATTGTGAAAGTGGCAGATGCAGGCATCCTAATGACTAATATATTCAGTCCACTTGAATGATTTATTTACCTACATACATACATATAAAAACTAGGTCTTTGTGCACATTCTGTTGAAAATTGGTTAGGCACACAGATCAGGTGTATTGCTTTATTTTAATGAACACCCAATAGAGCACCTGAACACATGCTGCATCCAAATTACTTGCCAGGAATAGCATATGCACTGACTATAGTGGCTGCAGCCGTGTCTCACGGATACTTTACTTCTAACTTGGGCTAGTTGATTTAGACATGGCCATACCTTCCTCCAGCTCTCACTGGAAGTCACCACAGTGTCCTCTGTGGCGCAGTTCCAGGTTCAACATCCAAAAACCTGGGGCTTATCTTCATAGAGTTGCTTTACACATAAATTTGTAAAGTACATAACATATTTGACAAAAACAGGTTACCAGCCAAATGTATACACTTTATTCTCTTGCAACTGGTTCCAAGCTGATTATTGCTCTAAAGTGATTTTTTTCTGTGTCACAATGCCATGGCATTAGGCCACAGTTAATACAAATGTTGCTAAGATTTCCTACTGAAGAATGCAATATTCAATATAGATGTACTGCTAGAGAACAAAGAAACTTTTACAGAGTTGTAGCTACTAATGATCAATGATGACAACTTAAACTGACGAAATATTGACTTTCAATATTATTATTGCCAAATACCATTTTGGTCTGAAATAACCACTTGCTATATTTTTTAAGCCTGTTTCTGCTTTCAAAAAAAATCAAGGATAATGCATTTTATTAGATATGAGATGTAGTTTTTTGTGTCGGGGAAAAGTTCATTGTACACTGGTCATTTCACCCTTGACTGACATTTATTTTGTAAACCCTGAAGTATACTCCGAGTTGTCCAAAGGCTTCCCAAAAACATTCACAAGGTTATCGAGTTGAGCTGAAACATACGTCATCCTGCTTACCAGTGCAGATCTGTCTTATCAAGACAACATCGAGCTTGCCGGCAAGTGCCACAAGCAACCATATTATAAGATGCCTTATAAGAGTGTTTATAAGTATACCTCAGTGAGGGACAAAATGTCCAATAAAATGAAAGCGACGTTTCTTCTGTTAGCATTACAAAGACAAAGTGCCAACAGTTGTCTTGGGTGTGATGTCACTCCCTTCCCCCCGCGTGGCACTGCACTCAAGGGCTTTATTAGCCTGTGTATAAATGAGACAAATCAAGTTTGTATTGAAAAACATTTTATTGATCAAAAATATAGTGACAAGCTCATTCGTCATGGAAATCAGAAAGGAAATTAGAAATAACGTGTACTGCACAGACTAATAAATATAAAAAGTTAGCGATTCAGTATCAATTTCAGTGAACTGAAATGCATTCAATATAAATTATTTATTAAAACAATTATACTGTTATCATAATATTTCAAACATGTATGCTTAGAAGATTCCAACTGCATTGGCAGGTAAATACAAATGTATATGAGTGGCTTTTGTTGATACTGTTGTATCTTAGTTTGACACAAATTGACAATGAAGGAAGCCGAGGTATTCAGCCAGTAAAGTTGTGGAATGGTTTGGTTTAAAGCATGTGTGTCTGGCAGACTTGCAGGCTATCCAAACAACTAGCCTCTCTCAGTGTGCCAGCGGGGCTTGCCTGCACATGCTGACCATAATAGGTACATATGAATCACCTGCTGTGTAGACAAAAGATAATGCTTTGTTGAATATTTTGCTTGCCAGATGTACGTACATGTAGATGCAAGATCAGCTCAGGTGTAACTTGTTTGTCAGCATTCTGCTGATTCGCAAATCATTTAAAAGCAGCTTGGAAGATTTCTTCTGCTCCTCCTTATTCTTAACCCCAAAACCCTGAGAGGTTTATACAAAAAATCTTATTAAACTTGAAGGATTGTTAGCTGTTTGGACAAAGCCCGCCCACATCTGAATTCCTCATCTTCTACCGCCCTTGTAACAAACAATTTGCTGAAACAACGCAGCGAGTGTGTGTCTTGAGAATTTTGTCATGACACTGACTTTAGACTTGTAATTTAGTCAATCATGGGCCAGTCTAAATCGGAGAATAGTAAGTCCAGCCACAAGCAACACTGATGAAATATTTCTATCATAGCTAGGCACCACAGGATATTGCAAGCAACTGGATTTCAAGCTAAAATAAATTTCCTTTTCACCTTTCACAATTATAGATGTAGTATATCCCTTTATATCCCTGGGCTAAGGAGTTCCAATATATATCTCTACACGTTTTCATTAGGTGTATCACTTTGACTTGCATTAGCACAAGAACCCTCTATCAGCACACCTGTGTATTTGATGAGTTGTGGGATGAAAACCAACTCCCTGTTTTAAAAAACTTTTGATGTGCAATAAACAAAATAATATATCATCCACATAATTTACATGTATATATTTAAGTCCATTTTAAACGGAGTAATATCTTGCTTCTTAAATCTCATGTCGATCTTATTTTACAAAGGGGCTGAAAAGTGTAGTTTTCAAGTTCAGAGGTAGCATTAAGCCAGCTTGAAGAAAGCTTGTAATTAAATGTGGCTTTTTGGGATTTTCAGCAGCATTGAAATTCGTGGCTTGCTCCAGGTATTAAAGCATATGGTGTTGCAACATTCTCAGAGTGGCCCAAGTATATTTCTTGTGTATTAAGCCTAACCTGTGCAGTTTTACAAAACAGGGCTTCAACCACTAATATTGAAAAATGCACCCTTCTGAATGAACTCAAAGTCAGAACACCAAACTTCATGTAAAATAATACTGACTGCCTCGTACGCTCCAGAAGCCATCTCTATATTGCAAAGTTAGGTACTGGATTTTGGAGAGTATTCATTTGGGAAGTGTCCATTTTAGATCATGCTCTCCAAGTCCACTTCATTTATTGTACACTATGAAATGGGAAAGGAGCCAGACTATTTTGCTTGAACTACATTGAAAAACATTTTTGCCTTTGCCAATAAAGGTAACGTGATTTTTATTAATAAGGTGGAATAAAAAAATTAAACAGCGCTAGTGTGCTACAATCTGCCCTACTGCATTATCCTCCAAACATGTTAAGTTTTAGAAGTTCGAATTTTTTACATTTGCTTTCAATTCAAGATGGCTGACGCATGAACCCCAAAGGGTTGGTTTCGGGTTTGGATCAGGACTGGTTAGCCAATGACATCTGACATAAACCCACTTTAAGCTAGGGATATCAACCATGCACTCACTGAAAAAGGCAATGATTCATGCAAGTAAATCTTTGCAACATACAAAATTAAAAGTTTTTGAAATGAACTGTACCATCCAATCAGACAACCAGTTGTCACTGCTGGGTACATACATTTCTTCAGCCAGGGAGGTGTCAGATGAACATGTTAACATAAATATAAATGACCAAACTGTTGGCCCCAAATAAATAAGAAGTACAAACAAAAGTAAAACAAAAAATGTGAGAACTTTTTCGTGAACATTTTAAAAAATTCAATCAAGCAAAAATAGCACCATTTCGTTTGTCGGTGTTTGATGTTGTAACCAAAGTGGATTACATTTATATGCCTCTAACGGGTTCCTCCACAGACCCTAGGAAGGCACCTTGACGAAAAAAAACCAAAGCTTGTTTTTCTTACTGTCCGATTAAAATAAAATTTCCCATTAAAGAAAGCATTTAGCATTCAAGTTTCTAAGCAAACTAACTGCACCTCTAAAAATGGCAAAGTGCCAAAAATTTTATTAGAATGGTAAGGTAACAGATTAAAGTTGCAAGTTATTCAAAGGCCGGAAAGCTCTCACATGCCTGAATGAACAAATTTGTAAGTTATAGTACTGGGAAAATATATCTTGACAAAATTACTACTCTACTTCTGTCCACCAAATGGAAGACTGATAAATGGCTGGGAAATTTCAGAGAATTCAAGTACAGACCACTTGAACTTCCTCACATCTGAAAGAGGCTCTCCACGCCAACCATCACTGTTTGTCAACCACTATTTCTGCCCGCTATCTGGGATACATATTGTGCACAGGTCACCCTGGAGAATTGACCACTGGTCACCAAATAGTGGCTGCATGAACCACCTCTAATGTCCACATTCTACGACAATATTAAACGATGTGCCCTTAAGCTGAGGAGTTCTCTTGCTACCAACTCACCAAGCTGATGGTTACTTTTCCCTGGGTGGACTCTAGTGAAAACACCCTGGGGAAACTTTTCCAGAAATTTTCACAAGCCATCCTCTGCCAGCGTGATTGGTCTGCAGCTGTCCACGTACATCTGCTCGCGCGAAGGTCACATTGTGCAGTTATAGAAAATAAGGTAGCCCCAATGTAGTTTCTTAGGCTGGCCAGCATATTGTTCTTCAACATGTTCAAGCACTACATTTCTCCTCGTGTTTATTTTTGGATGAGAGAGTACAGGAAACTTCTCGGTCAATGATTCAGGGACAAACAGAGGCAAGATTTTGCCATTGGAATTATTACCACTGTTTTGACAAACCTGCAAACATGCAAGTCGGAGGCAAATTTAGTATCTTATGGGGGGAAGGGTTTTTCGGAAAATGACTCACAACTCAGCAAGATTGTGAGCCATAGAAGAGCGTCTCTCTCTCATCATCACTGCCGGGATCTACCTCACTGGTCTCGTACTTCAAGTAGATGGTCTCCTCGCTCAGGATGGGCTCGCTAGGCATGAGACAGGCTGTCACGGTGTACAGGACAGAGGCCAGTAAGTAGAAGATGGGCACGACGATGGCTAGGGCCACGCCCACTCCCTGGTCACAGTCGTGCCAGGAGAGACGAAAGGCAATGATGCCCGGAATCTGAGGAAATACAGGGGAAAGCAACCAGAGTACTGTGATAATAAGGGAACCAGGTTGGCACGCTGGTACTTGCCTCACCTTCCACCTCTGCTAAAATTCTCAAATTTTGAGGGTTTTCACACTTACCAAGATCGGACCCACTGCACCACCGATTATGTTACTGATGGCAATGTATGCAGCCAAAGCTTGCGATCTCAAACTTTCTGCAAATAAATCCTGTGGAGAAAAATTACACAAACTCCCTGCTAGTCTCACATACTGCTGAACTTCAATGAGTAAAAGCCCAATATGCAAAACTAGACAACTCTGTGGAAGCATTGGCAGACTTGATAAATCCACATTTATGTTCTCTGGCTGTGTTCCGTGAGCGGATGTGATTTATTTGGCGGCTGCCTGAGGCCTCTGTACAGGCCTCCAGCTCAACCAAATTGTACTTCAGTCTCTTCACTGTGCAGCACATTTGAGCATAAACTGTAGCAAATATACCCTTAATAAACAAATAGATTAACCCTGACCCCCTAGGGACCAGTGAAATGCTGCATCAACTTGTCGGGTTCAAAATGGTTAGGATTAATACTTATACTTTTATTACGTTTTGGTAGAGTGTCTTCAGACAGGCAAGCCTTTAACACAGTACACCTACTACGACTTCAAGTTGGAAGCTTAACATTTTCCCTCAAATAACAACAAATTCCAGCAAAGGTCTATTTAAATGAAAAGTAAACACAAAATACTTTCAGAGGGAAGAACGACTGTCAGCTCTGTGACTATTCTACTGTGATTATTAGGCCAATTCTGTGACTATTCTACAAATGCCACATTTTTGCTCAGAACTTTGCACAGTTTTTTCCTTGGGGCTGTCATAGGCACATTCTGTGCTGGTTTACTAACAGACTTTGAGGGCCTACCTGGACGGTGCTAGCAGCAGGCCCGGGGGCAATCTCGGCCGTGAGGCAGGCCAGGAATAAGAGGCCAAAGGAGCACGCCGAGGAACGCAACAACAGCGTGCCTACTATGAAAGGAGCCGCGGCTAGCTGGCTGGCCGCTATCAAGTAGGCCTTGTACTGCTTTCTGTGTCTGGATATCCTGAATTGTGAAAGAAGGGACCATCATTTAGAGTTAGTCAAGGCCTCTGCTCATGAGACGCCATCAAAATCAAGAACAATCCTTGCAGCTGTTTATGAATGGTCAATCAATCTGTGTACGCTGAGTCAATTCAAATAACCTCCCATATTCGGTTGTATAAATCTCCCACAAAACCAGAAACAAAAAATACATGTTCAACAAAAAAAATTTTAAAAAGAAGAAATTGGAAGACAGGTGTTTTTATGGTCATAGGTAGGTGCACTCAGCTGCCTTTGCAACAGTAATTAAAACTGACCACAATCCTAAAATAAAGCCAATGACAAGTTGAAAACGAAAAAAAAACAAAACAAAGCACTTCATACGTATTTGTGGCTACAAGTAGGTGTGTTGTTAACCTTAATCATCCTATTTTTATAGCTTAAAATGAATTGTGAAAGCAAAAAGGAAACAGGTCATCTCTAAAACTGACCACTCCAGCAACCTACTGTATTTTTTCCTTAAAGATAATGACAGGCCAGCATCTCTAACTCTATCATCAGGGAAGAATCTTTCACATTCACCCTTTCTTGATGAGTCTTCCCTCTTTACCTATGGGCTAAGACTCCACCTATGAGACAGCCTGCGCCTCCCCCGCACAGAACCACGAGGGCGACATTCACGCCGTACTCCTCCGAGGGGATCCGCAGCACCTTGGCATAGAATGTGGGTAGCCACGCCCACAGGGTGTACATGGAGATGTACCGGGCCGAGGAGGCAGAACACAGGACCACATAGGGCTTATTGCTGATAAGCCTATAAGCAGTTTCCTTCAAAAATGGAAAGAAGACAGCGACTTTACTCTTCAAATGTTTGTTTTTTCCTCTCTGGCTGCCAGCATGTGTGCATTGAGCACATTATCAATGGGAAATGTTAACATTTTGGGCCAACCTCTACTTAAAAAGTGGGCATTTTGTGAGAACAGTATTTTTGCTTTCCGTAAAAATTGGAGTGAAAATGACCACAAGACAAATGAAAAACTCCGGAAGGTTTGGCACCATAGAAAACTAACATGTATAGCAATGACACTGGAGATAACCCCTTGGCTCTTTTGGGATTGAACAGATGTCAAATTGAATGAGAACAAGCTCATGGGATCTGTACGAGGGTAAAGATGAAGACTTTTTGTAACCTCGCTATGATAATCCCTGGGGCCAACGTACCGCATAGATGCAATAAAAGTTAAGGACGCGCACACGAAACATTCGTTTGAAATTGAGGACATGATTCCAATCAGGGCCGGCCTCAGCCGGAAAACATGTACAAAACTAATAGGAACAGCTGCAAAACAGCGGTTATACCCTTATCCAGTACACTGCGGGGACATGTGCATGCGTGATATACAAAACCAGCTGATGTGATGTCTAACAGTGAGTGTGACATGCATTATTGTAACCCTGTCACACGATTGTTCCCAGCAAATGAAAATGACAGTCTTGAAAGACATACTGTAGGTATGATGCATAAGGGAGTGCAGATACACATGTATAGGTTGTTAGCACACCTGCAGGATATAGGACAATGATGCGGTTTGAGCGTCAGCCCAGCTTTGGTCTTCGTCAACGAGGGAAATCCATAAAACAGTTTGGAGACCCAATGAATGTCAGGCATGTTTGGAGAGGTTCTGGTCATATTAAGGAATTCTTGATGACAATTTATGAAGAGAAAGTGGTTTTGTCAGGCAAAAAAAATCTGGGACGAATAGATTTTGGGCTTTTCCACTTCTCTGGACAATCACTGATGGTGTGATTTATCGCCAATGCTAGTCTGAACTGTCTGCTTACCTTTAAGGTGTAAGTGTCTCGACTATTCAGTAGTGAATTGTAGGAGTCGTCGAGCGGCTCTCGCAGGAACATCAGAATGAGCAGAAAAAGTAGACTGCCGGCAATAGCCAGACAGTAGAAGACCCAACGCCAACAAAGGTAGGAGTTGACCAGGCCGAGCAGGTAGGCAACAGCAACTCCTGTCAATGTTTTGAACAATTGGAGCTTTTTCTTTCAGTTTCACATGATAACACCGTGGAACCTGCTCACCAAAATAAGAATTGGTCGCATGCTCTCTGCGGGGTGTTTCCAAAATGAGAACAACAGCATGTGCAATGGCACATATTAAGACTGGTCTATTCCAGCTCAAAACACATGCTCTTAAAAATGGCACTCTAAATTTTTCAAACCACTGAAGTTTTCCGACAGTACCTAAATAAATGACAATCAACAGTTTGTGGGAGAAACTGATTGGGCCATACAAACTTAAACCTACTTCACAGAGGCTCCCAATATCACCACTCGGACTAACTTAGCCATAAGCAGGTCACTATGTCTGCTGAACATTTATCTGTGCCTTTTAATGAACTCTGCCAATGCTCGGGATGAGCACGGTCAAGTTTGTTGAATGCATCTAGTGTGGACCTGGGAACATAGCAGGTCCACACACTGTAGATTGTGTGACCCAATTTGTGGACTGAGCTAGGTCCACACAAGGTTTCTCCTCTCTGCAGAACAGCGTTAAAGGCAATTTGGGGGTAGGGTTCTTTGTAGCAATATGAATGGGAATAGTCTATAAGAGTTGCCCTAACTACGAAGAAATGAAGGAAAGTACACATGTGAATGTAAACAATGAGGTTTATCTGTGAGTGGGACCCTCCCGGTAATGAGCTAACTGTTGCTTGTTCCTTACCGAAATTTGTGGCAAAGTAGTAGAAAGACAAGGCTTTGGCTCGGTTCATGGCAAGAAAGTAATCCGAGATGAGGGAATAGGCAGCGGGGCTACAGGCAGCCTGACGGGCAAGATGACAAAGAACAGGAAAACTCACACACGGATTCCAACACAAGACAGAAACAAAACCCCCCAAACCCCAACAAAAACAGGGGGTACACTTTCATTACACACTATGCACTTATTAAACAGGTTCCCCAGATAAGCCAATGTTGACATTAAGTTGAACTGTAACAGACAGGCGGTTAACATTTCATCCCAGAAATGCTGTCAAACAAAACCATGAAACCAATGAGTGATTCCCAAGATGAGCATAAAAATGAAATCTGTAACTGGTTCAAGACATAAACGAATATATTTATTCATTAACAATGCCATTTGAGATTAAAACATAACCAATTTGTACTAAAAAGCAGCGAGAAGAATGACAGCAGCAGCAGTAGCTGCTGCAGCAGCAACTAGCCCCACAATTAGCAAAAGGACACCTTCAGAGAAGGAGGTTCAAGTGCTTCAAAGAGGTTGCACGCTACTACGGCAACAACGAAGGCCAATGCATAATCTAGTATTTGGTGCAAAAGTAAAGACGAAATCATGTGCACATGCGAATGTGCAACCTCAGGGCCAATATTCACTTTCAGAATTTGGCAACGGTTGAGCATATTCTATCATCGACAAATTTTGTCACGAACGCTCCGTGACATCAAAGTTCACATTCACATTAGCTTTCGAACATTAAAGGAAGAGCCAATATACGCTGTAAAGACTGTACATAAACCCTATTTTTTAGGTTTTCTTTCAAGTCCTAAATTTATGCTGGAACCACAGTTGGCAAGATTGCGCGAAGAAAAGAATATCAGCAATCACAGTCTGAATTTGCTTCCCTTACCTCCCCAAAGCCAACACCTAGTCTAGCCAGCCACAGCACCAAGAAACGATCGCTGACTGCAGTAACCACCGCCATGGCCACCAGGAATAACTGACCCACAGCCAGCACCAGAACCCTGGAGCCAGTGCTGGCCGCCCGGGCCAACGGGATCCCGGCCACAAAGTAGACAGAGGTGAAAGTCACGCCAGTCAGTATACCTTGCTGTCCTCATGGAACACCAGAAGGAAACAAACAGCACACAAACAGAAACAAGTCACGAAGCGGACAAACAGTTGAGGGTAGGAACGGAACTTCTGTCAACCATCATATTGACATGGGTAATTTCAGTATTCAGAAAGCGTACGCTCAAAATAAAGTGCGTGATACGTGTAGGTCATTCCACAACATCGACACATGTGAGGTGTGCCCTATCGTCACAGCCCTATGCACCGACTCACATGCATTTGCACTAAATATGTTTGAACTGATGTGACATTAGGCACTTTGTTCTTGAATAACCTTGCCTTTCTGAAATGCCCGACCGCCTCATCTTTGGTCATGTAAAATGTACTCGTAAAGCAGCGTTCGAGGGGAACACAATGGAGAAGCATGGTTGTAGAGTTCAGTGTATCAAATGGGGAGAAACCATCTACCGTACCAGTGGACCAACCTGTGCCTACGTTAGTGTACAAATATTACTTGACCATGACTATGCATACCAGACTGAAGCAAGGCGGGAAATTAGCAGAATACATGTACTTCACTCAGTCCACGTTTTGGAGGTGGCATCAATGCAAAAAAAAATCCAACAAACTTGAAAAGGTGAGGGAAGATTTCGGAAGTGTCCCTACCAGAGCATCACTGAACTCAATGCAGCCTGCGGAGGCGTGGCAGTCACTCTGGGCTGAGACAGGGGTGGAATACAATGATTTGTTGTCTCTGTCTTGGCAGACATAAGTGTGGTTCTGGTAGCATCTCATACCTAACAGGCAAAAGTTAAAAACAGACTTCCATACAATGCAAATTCTGGTACTAAGCAGGGTGGAACTGGTGCTTACTGTAAGCAGAAAAATCATGCTGCGGCTATAAGCACTATTTCACAGTGTGAATGTGCTGACAATCGTGAGCATATGGGGATTTGCATTGTAACCTGGATAATTTAAGCAAATTTTCTCCACTGGGTTTAAGCTTGCTTTTGCTGAGCTTGTTAATGGTCTCTGTGATACAGATGGAGCCTCTGTCGGCAAAAAGTCAGCTTTTCAGCAGCGCTCTGAAAGTGGGCCCAGATCTGTCAAATCGGCCCCCTTTTCTCCAATATTTAACTTGCTACGGAAGTGAGCATGTGAGCTGAGAGACAAACCATCCATTACCCACCCGCCGGAATAAGAACCGGGTAGGCCTGGCCGACCACCTGCACCCCAATGTACACGGCAAAGGTGAGGAGCAGGGACGCCACTACCTTCCAGGTGGGCACCGTGGGCACGTGCACGCCGCCCCCGTCAACTTCTCGGTTCCTCCGGCAGCACGACTGACCCATGGCTGCTGAGTACCGGCTCTGAAAGTGGGCACCAGACTGGAAAACAAGAATGCTCATTTGCTGGCAAGAATGCATATGACAATAGACAGTGGCATTGAGGTGAGTGAAACCATGATCTTGGATGACATTAAAATTTTTCTCTTCAGCTGAGTTTTACAGCCATTTGGAACAATGTTTTAGCCAGAACACTGGCATCTTTTTGGACACCCTATAGGCTGATTTGCTGCACAAATGCATAAATGTACATGTAAGCACATTAAACTTAAGCGCATTGGACACTCACATTTCAAATGCTGGTTAAACACCCTGACATGGTATCCTTTACCAAAGTTTTCCCTCTTTGCACTACAGGGCCAAAATTAAGCTGAGGTATCCAAAGTATACAATCTACGCCCATTCTCAGGTAGTTGAAGCCTGATGCCCAAGTCCTAGATAAGGATGCAGTTTGAAAACAAAGGCTAATGAATCTTCTCTACTCCACTTTGTTTTAAGCCCACCACTACGTACATGTAACCCCCTACTCACTGCACAGGCGCGCCATGAGGCGTGCAAGTACAGTATATGAGCATTTGACGCGGAGCACGCTGAGAATGCGTAACTAATCTATTGCGGCATGTATGGTCTTAGCGTAAACGCAGGACGCGTACAAGAAACCACCTGTAACCACCTGTCTTTCTTTCACAATTGATGGTGCACTTCAGCTCGGGGCAGATTGGTTAAACTACATGTACTTCTTGCTTTGGATTCAGTGTAGATGATCCACAGCGCAGTAACAACTCAACAGAAACCACAACAACTCACATCCAAACAGCCACGGGTGAATCTGAATCCTCCAGTGGAGAGACTTATCCCAAAGGGAGCGCAGTCCAAGCAGAATTATGTGTGATCCTCATCGTCATGTGAGATTGGCATTACTGACTATATAAACCTGGACACGAGAGAAATAATGATGCAGGTGCATTTCAAAATGATCTCAATACACATGCATGTTCAAAGCACACCCTCCCCAAACTGGATTCTTAAGAGGGCAAGAATTCTGTCTTGGACCATCAAAATGATACATAAACACCAATGAAAGGCTGAAAAAGAGGCACTTATTAATTCCATGTGGATTTTAGCATGACAAGTGGGTTAATAGTGACATTCAAAGCTACCGGTAATGATAGTCTGATACAGAATTCTTTCCCTCAGGCCATGAGAATAACAATTTCAGATTTGTGTCCGCTACTCACCACCTCTGACTGCCCACACCATTCATTTTTCAAAAGATTTCATTATTCAAAGATTACTTGAACATGAGTTAAAAATAAAAATATCAGTTACAATTGAGAATCTTCACCTAGTTTGATGCATGCATTTTCTTCGCAAATTTTTATTCACGGGATGGAATTCAGACAAAAAAGTCCGGAGCCACAGATCATGAAGAGAAAATGAAATACCCTGCAACTTGGAATTTGAATGAAGGTGTTATTAGGCACAATTACTCCATCAGCATAATTTTTTTTTCAGCACTATCACCTTGCGTCGATCCTGTATGAAATTTCTGGCTTTACTTGCCTTTTATGAAACATTTTTCCCCAACCATGAATTGGAAAGAAAAGGCTTTCATCTTAATTGAAATTCACGACAGATTGGACTAAAAGATTGATTGTTCGCACAGATCAGCCTACGCTGCCCAACCAAACATGCCTGTATTGGCACTTTTGGGTTTGGAAATGTACATGTACATGTAACTTTCTGATGTGTCCCAGCCGGGATTCAATCCCACAGGCATATATGCTCACGAGGCCAACTCGATTACCAATGGGCAACGCCCTCCTTCACTTTCACTGGTGGAACATACCACTTTATGGAATCAGTTCAGCTCAACTTGAGCCCTGTTAAACAAAACATCTGAAAAATTTGTAAATTTCAAGATGCCATGATCAGTAGGACTGGAGTTACTCGCTAGTTACCAGCTAGTATCCGGTTCATAAGTGTGACGTCACTTCAGTTATATAGAGTTATTACATGCATTGCTCGCTGTTTCCATGGAACCATGGAACTGGAAGTTAACACGCAATTTCAGCGATCATCAAATGAGAGCCTGGAAAACGTGGCACATACACCTGTGTCACTTACGAACTGGATAGGTTTAGTGTCGCCTGTTTTACAAAAAGTAATGTGCAACTGAATGCTGGTAAAACACATTATGGAAATTTAGAACATCCGAAGATAAGCAACTAAATTCTCCTTGGATTGAAGGACATGTCCCATGAGGACTGAAACTTTCAACCCTGGCATACAGACGAACATATGGAGATACTGTAACTGTATGATCGAGATATACAAAATACTCACAAGGAAATATGACCAAAAGGTGACCATTAGTCGTCCAATTTAACACAATCATGACAAACACAAGGGTCATCAGTTTAAATAAAAGATACTGGGCGCTAGGTCTATCCAAGTCTAACATTAGAACCCGCTTGGATGTTTAAAAAAAACATCCTTTGTACTTTAATCAGTTGACACTTGGAACAGTTTACCTGGGTTGTCTGTGGTATCTACACAGAGGGTTAAGTCCTTTGAAACAAGACTAAATATAACTTAGCACTAACGTTACAGTTACTTAGAGAAGACATTATGCCATGTCCCATGAATGATATTGATAAGGCAGTGGCCTAACTAGGGTGCTACAGCTGATGAGGGGGCACCTGGGGGTGCACAATTTTTTTTGTCAGGGGGCACTGAAAATAATTGAACTAGGTATATATTTTTTTGTCCATTTCAAAATTTCAAATGGGGGGGGGCCCTCCGTAGTTACACCACTGTTTATAAGGACATCTCAACCAGTCAAATTGTGATCCTGACATGCCTGATGATATTCATTGAACGATTGATGCATGCACCCATCTATTGTAAGTTTAGTGAGAGGCTTTACGAAGATCTAATGAAAGAGGTCTATTAAACCTACAGTCAAAAGAGGACAAGTCTACAAGTATATCGTGTACCTATAATAAGTACTGTGCGATCAAAAGCAATCCCAGGCGGTGACATCAATGCTGATGAATGTTTCCGGCACGGCATACAAAACACATTCGGCCGTGTGCGCCATGTGACGTGCCGTTAATTTAGTAGTGCGCCCTCATTTCGGGTCGGTGTACGTGAGATCCGTAAAGAAAGTGGTACCCACATGCACGTACTCGCTCGTCCCTTCCGCTTTTAGGGGCAGTACTGACGGGCGATAGGGACAAGACAAGCGGACCCAACCAGTCGCGTTAGTTCTTGGGGATGGGGTTATATATATCCTCCAACTTTCGACCAGGAAGATAGGCAATTGGATCACCCCCCCCCTCAAAAAAAATTCGTGGTGGGAGGATGCAGATCTGGGTTTTTTTTTCTTTTTCAAACTTACCAGCAACAAAAACATTCACAAATACTGAAAAAAGGGAGAAATTAACAAAACTCTTATTTTTATTTGAGGTTAAGGGATGCAAATATAAGAAGGCGCAAATCTGTATCATGAGCAACCCCTACCCCCCCACAAACACCCACACTTTGTAAATTTCCACTGCCGTGCACTCTCCCATCCCACACTGTTCCTTCAGAATAGATTTATGCCACTGGACCAACACCCCCCAAACACAAACACACACAGTACTTTATTTCCAAAATTGACAACGCTAACGAGGTTTCACTATACCTTTCCAATGACCTGTCTTTAATGACGGAAAGCACTGTGTTGGGTTTTTGCACAGATCGACTGACATGACGTGGAACAAAGGACAGATTCCTTGCAAATCTATTTTCTCTCCTACTTTTACAGGAGATGAATAGTTGTCCATTCCCCTGGAAAAATAAAATCATCCACGCACATCAAGTCAGTGCCAATTCAATAGCTGTTAATGCCAACCATTTTCTTCCAAATAAAGATACAGATATTTAGGTACATCAAATTCATTGCTCTTTGGAATCGGGCAAATAAGCTCAGATACAGGTATAGAACAGACAACAAAATGCTTTACAATTCAATTTCAAATATCAGAGATTAAGCCAGTCGTCCAAACTGTTCATCTATCCTGAAATCATGACACCTTTTGTACTTCATCTAAATACACGCTTCAAGTTTAGTTTCACATTAATATCAATATTACAGTTTACTAATGAAGTGATCAACAGACAAAAATCATTTCAAATGCCTTCATGATCACAACATCCTTCCAACATATATAAGGAACATCAAAATAAACTGAAGCGAGCATGTGAAAACAGATGCTGCACATACTGTAATACTGACAACGGCATTAGATACATGTAGATCTTTGGTGAGTTCTACACATCTTCCACATGGAATTTCTAGTTACAGCCACCCTCAGTGGGTGAAATCTAATGGCACATGAAAATGGCATATGAAAATGGCTTCAGACCATTTTTACACACTAAACTCTATTTCACAACTTCTATCATTCTAAACCATAAGAACCCGTATACAATCATGCACCATTACGAAGCAGTTGTAAGTATCGAATCTTTTTCCAGAACATTTGTTTTTGAAGGAGGCATATAATGCCGTTTTGAAAAGCTGCATAAATCCATCAATCTGGTGGGAACATTTGAAAACAAAACTGGCCGTTTGGGGGACCTGAAAGGATCTCAGAATTTCACAATTCACATCTAATTAGCCGACTTGAGGTAGGTTGGACACAATCGAAGGGTAATATTTGGTCTGAGTAAGGTTCCAGTAAACACTTTTGCATTTACTCCAACTTGACCCACTTCAAATTTCACCTTCCTATTGTGTCTGCCATGCTTCAAAATGGCTAATTACCCCAACACTGTTGACTCTAGTATACTAGGGTAACTCATACAACATACATCTAGGCAGTTCACCACACGACACAATTATACACCGACAGAAAAGGTATAAACTGAAGTGCAGTCAATTGATTATAAGAAATGGACTGGAGTTCATTCTAAGGATGTTTCTCTTCCTCACAGTTGACTCCAAGGATGTCGAGTGTGAAACTGTGAATGGGGATTAATCTGTGGCTGACCTTTGGCCTATGCCAAAGGTCAGTCTCAATTCTGGCAGGATACAGGTAGCCTTTTATTTTGGGAAAGGGTTTACAAGAGAAAGTCAAAGTAAAGAAAATGCAATATGTCACGGCCACTCATTGCAGTGAAATACTTGTGCACTAAATGAAATAATAAATACATGTAAGCAACCCTCAGTTAGGATTTGTATGTGAACACTTGAGCAAGTGAAAGTGCTAATGCACAGTTCAAAATCATCAAACCTTGCCCAACCTTTCTCGACCAAATCTTGCACCCCACCCTTTTGTTAATTTCATGGAATGCCAAGATCCCTAAAAAATGTCCACAATATGTTTACTTGCGTTGATCTTATTCCCTTGGTATCTGCCATTGCAAAGCCTTGCTGCATGGAAATCATCACACAGTTACAATGTCAGCTTGCAAGCTGGAAGCGAGACTATTTGGGGACAAACACTGGGGCCCGCTGTATTGTTAATCCCTCACACGACACAAGTTCCTCCATTTTTCACTGAGCGGCGTCGATGAGCAGGTCCTGGGCCAGGAACTTGGCGATGGTCAGGTGCCGCCTCTCCACTGGTTCCCAGGGCCGCTTCAGGCATCCGCTGATCTCTTCCACCTTCCTCTGCAGGACAAACAGGTGCTCGGCCTCCGAGGACGCAAGGCTGTCTGACAGCAGGCTGTCTGAGAATTGGCTGTCGAAGGACGTTGGGGTCTCTTCTCCGTCCTCCTCACGGGTCGGGATGTCGTCGTAATGGTAGAGAAGCTCCCGCTCCACCTCAAACGTGGTCAGGCTGGGCCCCCTCAGCGTGGCCATCGCCAGAATGTTGCAGAGGAGGAGTTTATACCCTAAACACATCAAATAACAGATCAAGAAGCAAGATGTTGTACAATAATTATGCTCAAGGGTCTTGAGGCCGAACACTTTCTCTAATGTGTAAATCCTTTTCTTAATTTTCATTTACTCTCATCAATTTGTTTTTGGCCTACATCTAATTGCGTTTGATTTCCTGGAGGCAAGACGAGATAAAATGCTCAGTCCCAACTAGTGGCAAATGTTGACAGACTGCTGATTGCTGACCAGAACAGAGAAAACACCACAAACAAAAGAATTCAGACAAAAAAGTCACTTCAGACGTCTTCATACCTGTGATTATAAGGCGTTTCAACTGCTTGCACTGCCAACACAGCATGACCAGTGGGTCTGCCTCCGAATCATTGCCAAACAACAACGTGGGCTTGTCAGTATGCAGCTCCAAGCAGCTAAGACTCTTGTAGTTTTTGGCGACATCATCAATGAGCTCCTCTTTCAGGGACCACGGGTGGCAGACAAAGATTCTCAGGGACGTCAGCGGTATGCTGGGAGTGAGGAAGTGGAGAAGCTCGTCCATTGCTCCGCTATCGGCAACGACGGCCGACACGGTAACGCACACATCTGGCAGGAGACGGGCCAGCTTCTCCCAGCTGGCGTCCTCGGCGGAAGTAATGACGTCGTCCCCAAAACCCGTTATCATGTTGAGCTGCCGCAGGACGAGAGCACATTTGGCATCGGGCAGGCTCCTCAGGAGTTGGTCGGTCACCATGGACAGATTCAGGGTCAGGATGGACAGGGATGTGAACTCGCAGAGGGACGACGTTACCGCAGTAGCCTCGTCGGAGAGTCTTTCGCTGACCTGGAAGGTCGGGACATGGAGGACTTGCAGCTGCTTGCCAAATTTCTGAGCAAGCATCTTCAGGAACTTGGACTGCAAAGAGGCGATGCTGTGTCCCAGTGCCAAGGTCTTCAGCTTGCCAGTGGCTTGCATGACTTTCTTCAAGCTCTCTGTCATCCTGAAAAAGTATGTGAATAAGACGAATTGATGGCATGGTGCAACAGGTCTCAAAGATGAATTACAAGACTTTATATTCCCTCTCCCAATAAAGCTGTCGACCACAAACTTTTCCCATTTCTTTGGCACAAAGCATTTTTCAACATTGATACAGGGTCAACGTAAGTAATGTTTCTCTTCACATAACACATTTTTAACAACTTACAATGGTACCTGGCATCCCTGTTGGTAAATTGTAGTGAAAAACGCATACTTATAAACCTTTAAAATTGACCATGCTTTTCTTTAAAAGTGAAGGCACTGGGGGATTTTGATCATCAAACTGTGAATCCAATATTTGCTCATGGACAAAACTGTGAGAAAAAGTTGCCTAAAGGTTTAGTGCCATGTACTTACATGACAATGAATCATCAAACATGACTGCTGCAAAATGTCCCAAACTCTGAGAACTTTTTGTGCTGAAATAGCGCTAACATTGGCAGCTTTGCGAAGAATGACATCACAGTTTTGCTCAGGGATATGGAAATCAGTATAAACACCAAAAAAGAAAAGGAAATGCCTTTTGAAATAGCAAAATTGAAAATAGTGTTGAACAAAACATGACGGTTCATCTTCAATGCTAGCTTCAAAAATTGCACTGCAGTTTTAATTACACACACCCCTTTTATTGAGACCAAGGGTACATAGAAGGTTCCCAAACGTTTCTAGGCTTTAAGTGCTTCAGAACTGACAGTTCTTCCCCACGAATCTCGAATGAGCTCTGACCATGTAAAACTCACTTGGTTTCAAACGCCTCATCCGGTGACTGCGGGCATTTACAGTTTTTGCACAGAGGAAAGAAGCTGAAGACGAGTTTCTCAAGTCCCTCGCTGCTGCTGAGACCGTCAAGGACCTTAGGCAAGTCTTGGTACAATGCCCGATAGTGGGGCAGCTCATCCAGCTGCAACTCCTGTGATGACTCCTCAGACCCTGTGGGCGGGAGCAAGCTGGCCGACGCGCTCCGGCTGACAAACTGACCACACAGCACGCCGTGATTGGGCAACACCACCATGCAGGTCAGAGTCAGCTCCCGCACAAACCGCCCGCACTTCTCTAGGATGCGGCGGGCCGGCTCGCAGCCGGTACGCAGGGACAGCTCCAGGTTAACTTGACGCCAGAAGGAGGGGTGGAAGTAGCACTCCCGCCAACTCCTGCAGGTTGACGAGGCCCGAGCTCTGTCTCTGTGAGACAGGCAGGAGAGGACGTTAATGACTGCCGTATGCGGCAGCTGGCTCCAGTTACTAGGATCCATGCTGGACTGATGTACTGGAAAATCTACATGTATCAAAAACAGACAAAAACTCTCCTCTTACAGTATGGTATTCATTTTTGAAGATCTTTAGCACTGACCACATTGAAATTGCAATGCAAGTTGCAATAATGCACTGAGAATCTTTTTGGTTGACAAAAAAAGAAAAGTACAAGTCAAAGGAAATGGTAGTTAAATTCCCAACATCTGTCACTAGAAAAACTCTAGTACATGTATGTGACATCTTTTTTTTTCTAAATACGTGTGATGTCACTCTAGCTTTTTAGCTCATGCATTTGCTGAGACTATGCTATTGTTATAAGCACAATCAGTTTATATCCAACTGCTTTGACGGCTGAGGGATATGAAAATGATCCAGTCACACCACATAAACAAAACAGTATCCTAATGCCACTGTTTTCATTGCATTGAGAAAATTTGCTACTTTGAAGACGTACTTTTCCTCATAACATATAAACATAAACAATGATATATACCATTTAGCAAGATTTTTCCCCTTACAAACACCATGGATGAAGGCCACAAACCCGTGGTCTGACCATATTAAAAAGTTGCCAAAACATCCTACCTAGGCCCAATCTGGCACAGTGTGGCAAGAGTTCCATATATGGACGCCAGGGACCTGTTAGCCTTCAGAAAGCAAAAACATGTCCAGAAAAGTTCAATTTAGGAAAGAAAATACCAAGTCGTTTACTTACAAAACGCTTAGAAATAGAATTTTTTCAGACCAGTCTCATAGGGTTTGTGCATGGGGTGTGGCGTCCGTATATGGAACTCCTTCCCTAAATCTAATTTGGGTACCCCTGTTAGTGCTCAGCTTTCTACAAGGCTCCACGATCACGTTCTATGCAAACGTATTTGAAGCAAGAAGGCAAAACTCTGCTCCATGAAGTCACTATGGCATCACTTGAATTGCACGCACTTGGGTGTCGACCTAGACTAGGCATGCCAGGTCGACTCCCTGACCATACTGACGTAATGTACGAAGACCAGCGTCCGCAACCTTGGCTAGGTGTCAACTGTGCACACGCCACAAGGTCCAAAGATAGAGACCGCCCAACACAAAACTGAATAACTGTTCATAAAGAAAGTGTTAACTCGTGGTGAACTCCAGCAGCTGATTTGCACCCGGGTACCCGTGCATGAATGTTTACGAAATGACGGTGTGGTATCCTGACCTTGCTTAATAAACTTCGTATATGAACTAGGAACCAGACTAAATTCTGACGGGGGGGGGTACCGAGTAGACGCTTGTGGCGCTTGCGCTGCGCACATTTCGGGGGTCCGACGTGTGATATTATATCACTGAAGTTGATAAAAACTTATTTGGGGGGCTGGTAATATGCATTACTTTATCACTGTTGGAAATTGTGCTCTAGACCTACAAAACCCTATATCAGATGTAACAGAGACAGAAAAAATGGACTTCAGATTTATAGAATGACCCATTATTGAGCTTTGAAGTCGACCAAGTCGGCCTTTTTAAAATTAATTATGTATAGCTGTGATCCTTTAAATAGCTTTATATTCCGTTTAATTATCTAGTCTGTTAAACGTTTAAACTTTGAAAGGTCATTCTGGCTTGAACGATAAATTACACCGTCATGTCGATTTCGCAGTGGCTTTGTTTCGTCATCATAGTCGCTAAAAGACGGTATTGTAGTCAGATAAATTAGCCGGGCACTGACGGAGCTGCCGTGTTTTCCCTGTGCCAACCTCTTGCTTGCGGTTTTGTGGTACTTTGGAAAGGGTGTAAATTTTGTGAATCTAAAACAAAAGAAAAACTCCAGCCGTTGCCAGCGGAATGTGTTCCAAAGAAAAGGCTGTAAAGTGGGCACGCTCTTTTTAGCACGATGACTATCGTCAGATGCGTTCAACGGGCCTTACAGAGGCCTGCGACGTGCATATATGCAACTAGCTTTTCCTTCGATTGCATTTTGTTTTGAGCTTTAAAGTAAAGGAATTTTGCCTCCCCTCCTTTCGAGATTCTTCGAAAGAATACATCCTATCCGCAATTAGAAGAAGCATCACATAATAAAATTTGCTCTCAGTCATCATTTGTTCGGAACAAAAGGATGGTTTTAGTTCGTGACCTTGCTTTATACTGACCCTTAACTGAATCGAGGTGGTAGCTGCGACGCGCGCACATCTCAAGTAACCATGAAAAATATCTTGTCGCTGAACTGTGTAACATTCTTTCGAAATCTGCGTGTTTTATGCAAAAATTTAAGACATCGCTGTGATAAAATCAAATTTTAAGAGAAATTTCTTGCGAAGCCTGCATAATGTGCCAGCACATCTTGTAAAGCACATACATCAAGGTATTTTTATCACATTTTGTCTTTAATAAGAATTCCCCACATCCGTCGTAAGAAATAACTCTGTGTCTTAGTCAAACACTAGTCAACATCAGCACTCTCAGCAAAAAAATTAAAAAATGAAATAAAATTGATTGCATTAAGATGGAGGACTTGTGATGAAGCAGTGCTCCATAATCGTCCTTCATTAGCCCTGCTTTCCTATACGGTCTTGTATTGGTCGGCCGGAAAGTGTTCCGTTTGCCCTTTGCACCAGTGTTTCCCAGGGTCCTAGTCAGACATACTTTAGACGCCAGCACAAACCTGAATTTAATTAACGCCGAAGAATGCTGAACTTAGCCCGCTGAAGAGTGCAGAAGCCTCACATTTCCAGTTGACGAGGAAAGCACTGTACTGTATCTTCTCAAGACTTTTTCACAGGCTCTGGAATCGTTCTTAATATGGATAATTTGGTCCTGTTAAGTGTTAAACATCTTTAGTCAGCCTAGCTCCTTTGAACTACCGTCACTGTCCACAAAAACTTACCGCTAAGATGCAGATCACTTTTATGATGGCGTTTTAAGTGTTAAACAGGAGCATAATAACGTCTTGTGGGGGCAGATCAAGGAATTTTCCCGGGGGGGGGGAGTCGGGCCAGAGATTTTGTTTCAGTTTTCATTTATGCGGACAAGCGGGAACGATGATGAAAAATGGTACATGACACTCATTGTTTAAAATGGGTGCACTTACTTAATTAAACAAATTATTTCCCCATTCGTTTAATTTACTTTTTTGGGTCTCAGAACATTTCGGGTTGACCCCATCTCTCTCCCTTGAATCCGCGCCTGTCTTGTAAGTTTTTGGAATTCGAGAGAGAGAGAGAGAGAGAGAGAGAGAGAGAGAGAGAGAGAGAGAGNAGAGAGAGAGAGAGTGGGGGGGGGAAGGACCACTGCGGATCTGTACTATATGGTAGAGATCAGTGGGAGGGACACCTGCCCACAAAGCAAATCAGTCATTAAGAGCGCCCCCATGCGGTATTTAAAAATTACGCGCATGCCTCTCCCTGTAAATTAATACAACTTCCCCGGAAGAATACCCCCCCACACACACACAAATGAGTAAATTAAAGACAACAACTACAACAAACAAAAACCCCAAAACAAACATTCTGAGGGTTACAATGCACAGTATCTAAACAAAAGCACAAAGGCACAAAATTGCACTGGGATCGTCGCCTCATGTCTCTTCATTTGTTGCCACTAGCTCAAGTTTTACTAAAAAAACCTAGCGAATGAAGGGTTTCTCTGATCAGCGGCGCAGTTTGCTGTATCTGAGTGTTTTTTTATTTAAAAAAATCATTTAGTCGATAATATTTCGTAAATGGGGCGGCGGCATGGTCCCACATGGTTTGTCAGGATTTGGGATTAGCTTAAGTACAGGTACCAGTACGTGTAGTACTAATTGCCCCAAACTTAGACAACTAGTGATCGATGCGCGCATTTTAACACTTTATAGAACTGTTACTCCCATATATTTGCCAGAAAAATACGTAAAAATGAACATAAACCTTGCTTAGAAACTCTTGGTGAACTCTCACAACACATGATAGTGTTAACTTGTAAATCTCATATTAATCTTGTACAATCGTCCTGGCGTGGCGCTTTTCTTACTAATCATGTAATTTCACTTCAACAATGAGAAAAGGGTAATTACTTCGATCTATCTCGCTCACAGTGTCCCTACTTATTGCTGCATACTAAGGATAAAAGATTGAATTTCCAAATTTCACATCATCATGACGGTCTTTTGGTTTAAATTAATATAAACTTGTTGGGATATTGACGACAATGTTTACAATTTTTCCGCATAAAGATATAAAACACCTTTGAGATTATGATGGAGGCACACGTATTACGCGCGATGTGATGTGTGAAAATTTTTGTCCGCTGCCTTTTCCTCAGGAATCACATGGGCAGTATGGGGGGCAGTGATTGGTGTAAAACAGACCCCCCGCGATGACTAAATGACAACATACTCGTTGCTTTCTAAAATTTAGAGGCCATCCAGGCTGTATGTCCAAAATGACGAGTCCACGGAAATTTGCCGAGAAAATAGCCCTTCACAACCAAAAGCAAGCCGAGGAAACGGCTGCTTTTGATCAGATTATGAAAGAGGTCTCAAATGTATCAAGGGTAAGTACACTGTGGGTCAGAAAGGTGTCGTTTTCGGGGAGAAATTGCAGAGGTTATGACAGACCGAAGCGAGTCTTCGCGGTTTCCTCCATTACGTTTCCATGTGTTTGTGTGCACTCATACTCAGTTTACGATTTTAGAATTGTGTGTTTATTTTTTTCATTCTCTGCAGCAAAGCCAAAGCCATGTAGGACATAAATCGCACCATTTACAGCTTGCTCCAACGTTAGGGGCCTACAGAGGAGGGTCATTGCCCAACGTTAACCAGTTAGGAAATAATACTATAGATTTACAGGTAAGAAAATTCGCGCCTAGTTTCATTGGTTCCATGTCTAATTCCTTGACCGCCATGCGTGTTGGGTGAGTAGTGAGTGTACTGTACATGTCATGATATGTGCGCGTTGTGTACCACAACTAGCGTTAATGTGTTTTCATCATGGCGTTTCCCACAGTCCCTGTGTAATTATTGCATTAAAGACGTGTAGTTCAAAGTAAAGGAAGATTTGACTGGTGTTTGTGGTTAATTATTCCTTTGCCAGCTTTCGAATAACATTGTTTCTTTCTCTCATTGAGAATATACTAGTAAGTTCAGAATCAGCCAATTCGGTATTTTGGTCGTGCCTGCGCCAACTTGCGGTGGCAACCCTTTTTCTGGATAAACAAACCATTCCGCTCCACAGCAATGCACGTGTTCACACCTAGTATTTTTATTGGACTGGCCATTCTGGTTTGGATTTCTTCAAAAGTAAAAGACGTTCTACAGTGTGACGTGTGCATGGGTAGTTTTCCTATAGATATAAAAGGTGAATAAAGAATCCCCAAAATATTTCTTGTAAAAAATTCATGTCAATTGCAGAAAGTTGACATGGTTGAAAATAAATTAAACCGAACTCATTCGTATGCCAGCTTTATGCTATATCGTACCACTGGCTATGCCATGTGGGTTTGTTTAAATCCAATTTCTATCCCACAATTCCTTGCACACCTGAAACTCTGACATGGCTTATATTACTGTGCGCAGCATTCCAGTGTTGCACTTGGGGTGTGCATGGGCCTAGCTTTTTTATATGGACATGTACATGTACATACATGTACATTGTCAGTAAACTTTTACTCTTATGATGTACACGTGCAGACCGCGGTATGTACATGTACATGTATGTAGTCCTTGTTTATATTCCATCAGCAGGGTCTGTGTATTTGCGGACCCCATTCCTGTAACTTGTAAGCTCTAATAATGACATCACGTTGGATAGCTGCAGGATTGATTTCATGGAAAGAGTGCAGGATTTTGATATTGGAGGAAAATGATGGGGTAAAAACGATGGCAACACTAACTATGCAGTGGCTCACACACTGAAAATAAACATGGCGACTGTGTCCAAGCCAGTTTGGGAGAACACAGCTACATGTAATTGGTTGCTAAATATTTCCATTGGGAAGTCAGCCTCTGGTTGAAAAGGGCAAGGAAGAGCAACTTCATCCCCTGATATCAAGCAGTGTGCCTACCTTCTCTCTTTTTGGTAGCCAAGCTGGAAGTAATGACTGGTCCTCGTCCCATTATTTTCCCTTACCAAATAATCTGCCATCGGTGCATAAAAAATACAGCAAGTCAGGTCCTAGCCAATTTGGCTCATTACGCTGGTGTTTATCTCCGTTTTCCGTGGCATGAAACGACTGAGAATATTTCTATTCCCCCTGGATGGGATGCCAGTCCATCGTAGGTTGCTTCCCCAGCTAATGCTGGTACCCATATATACACCTGGGTGGAGAGAGGCAAGCAGAAGTGAAGTGGCTTGCCAAGGGCCACAACATGCTGCCACCAGCTGGATTCGAACCTCCAACCCTATGATTGGAAGCCACAGACCCTAACCACTTGGCCACATGCTCCCTTGCCATTGGCACATACATTATGCATGTAGAAGAGTGCATAAAGGGTGATGTAGGGAACAGGAACCAGTCTACATGTAGCTGAAAATAAAGTAAGGAAGAGTACTGCAGTACATGTACATGTACCAAACACAGTGCATGATGATTTGTGTCAGGTAGGAAGGCTGCATGTTCTCCCAATTTTCTGTTCCAAATTTACTGAAACTAGGGTGAGCATAATTGAGCAAATGTCACCCGGGATTTGCACTCTTAGGGACTGACCTGTTTTGTAAAAATAATACAAACAGACAGGTCCTCACATGCACAGTCTGCTCTTTTGCACTCAGACTCAAAACACTCTTCCATGTGTGTCATGCAGTTAGGAGTTCTGACATGTATGAATGGTAATCTTTACTTTCAGGTTACTTGTACTGTTTTTTTCCCTTTTTTTCATCTTCCTAATGCCTGTGTATCAGTCCAATATTACCTTTGCAGCCTTGGAAGCTATCTTTGTGTATATTGCCACTAATATTTTTCTTATCTTTCTTACCGTTTTTGGCCGTTGAATTTGAGTGAGTTGTCAAATGCCTTGTGAAGGACAGGCTGGTGTCCTGAAAGTACTGATTGCCCAAAATATAATATACTGGCATGTCCACTAGAGTCTACCCATTATGGGCACTAACAGTAGAAAACGGGGCCATGTGAAGCATTTTTTAAAATAGAATCCGGGCAGGTGATTTGATGAGTGTTGGGATTTTGAAAAGCCATGGTTCTCAGTTAAGGTACATGTAGAGTGTCTTGGACGGGTAGAGGGAATTTGGAAATTGGAGCAGGGCAGAAGATGGGCTTGATTTGGCCTTCAAAACTTTCTACAAAACAGATGTGCCTCAATCAAAGTGAAGCATTTGGACATGTTGGAGGTGTGAAAATGAAGGGCGAGGTTGTACATGGTGTAGAGAACATCCCAATTGAAACACAGCCTAATACTTCAGTAAGAGACTTTGAGCTGCTGGTGGCAGCAGACATACACGTACCAGTCCTTTATCACAGTATTATGAATGCTCAGAACTAGACGGGCATGCTCAGAACAACATGTGTATGCGAAGAACTGGTAGAAAGGACTGGTGTGTCTGCTGCCACCAAGTGTCTGAGAGTCTCCCATTGCTTTCCAAGGCTACAGATACCCCCAAGTGGTGCGCACTGTTGATGCATGCACACTTGGATGTTCAGTGTCGTGAAGGCGATGGTAAAGGTGAGCGGTCGCACCGGGACATCAGGGCACGTGGATGCACATGAGGGCATTGAACCACTATTTTTCAGTGTGAGCCCACCCTTAGGCCTCTGCAGGGGCGAAGTTAGAACACTGAGTGGCCTTACGTTCCATTTCGGTTCTCTGTCAGGAATTGCTAATTGCATTCTTGAATTGTACTAAAATTATTGGCGCACCTTTATTTTGGCTCCATTTTTCCATTTTACCAGAACCCTTTCTGAAAATGAAAAGATCAACCTGAACTGGGACATGCTTCAGTGGATTTGGCGGAGCATTTAACAAAGGATCTTTTGTGCTACCTTGTCAATTAGGTACAGTAGCTGATTGGCTGTCGGCCTGATGAAACGTGTAAAGGCATACGGTAGCAATGATCAGTGAACATACTGATATGGTACATGTACATTCTACAGTCATGCAATATCAACCGAGGTTTGTGGGCTATTTAATGTCAAACTAGGAGTTTGTTCCCTCTGCAAAAATAGGCCTATCAGTGTTTGTTCCGGTGCACTAAGTTTGGTAATATGCCCAGTGAGCATTGCCAAGTTAAGTAGTGTAATCACACTTTGTGGTAGCCATGCACAGTTGTAGGTGTATATACACTACATGCAAATAGGGTCAATTTACTTTTAGCCCATCAGCCTTCATGCAAGTGCACCATGTTTCTCGGTAGAAATTGAAAGTTACATGTATACGATACTGGAAAAATCATTTAAACTCATTCATTTACAAATGGCCTTACTTTGCATTTTTGCCTAGATATACATGTACATGTAAGAGAGACCCTGCTACATTGCATGGTCTTACTTTGCCTTAGTTGCAGAAAGTCCCAATCCCCACTGAATCATCCAGGTTGAGCTGCAGTTTGAGTTTTTGAGCTGCTCTCTTTAATTAATCTGATAAAATGAACTGTATGCAACACGCGTGTAATACAGGGAAACCCTTGCTTGGTATGCACATGGATTATTCACAAATGACTTGTATACGTGTGTACTGTGACTGGAAGTGTCATTCTTTTGGAGTTACTCTTGTAAAGCATGAGGTCCTGGTACATGAACCGGTATGAAGGTACATGCGCCGGTCGGTGCAGCAGTTTCGCACAGTGCATCGTAAAAAAAAATTTGACTTCAGCCCACATATACCAAGTACCAAACAAGGCTCCTTTTGCACAAGGACTTGGCAGACTTTGAATGTCTTCAGAGATGTTTCTGCGCACAATTTGCACAGTTTACATTTCTGTTGTGTTTTTATTGGAAAAATGATATGGTACTGCATGTCGGCCACAAAGGTCAGACAGATGATTAACTTTGGGATCGTTGGTGTCGGATGGCAACTGTAATGTTGGAAAGTTTCTTCTTTGTAGCAGACTGTTTTGGGGCTTGGCATTTGCCGTACGGTGAATCAGTAGTTATTAAAACAATTCATTTTTGTAGGGCAAGCAGAAACAACATAGTGTAAAATACCTGTAGAACAGCTGAACAGCTTACTCTAAGTACTTTTTAATTCCCACATAGAGAAGAGACGTGCAGAATTATATAGAACTGTACATACTTATACATGTACATGGATGAAATGTGCCATCTTGGTCCGTTGCAAGGAATCTTCAACCATACATGTGCTCAAGGATTCCCTAATGAAATGATGACTTAACAGAATGGCAAGGTACATGTACATGTACTGTACACGATACACATGTACACAAGATGTAATACATCTTGAAGATACACATGTACCGGTACCTACACCTTAGATGTCATTCCTGGAAGTCAGAGACAATGTGATTTATCATCTCGGAGGATTCAGTGGACTTTACACACTACAAGAACATACATGTACATGTGCATATGTGCAAGTTCCAAAGACCAAAATGAAAGCTCTTATTACAGTACCCACTGGTATTTTAGTTCAGGGGGTCAAATAGAGCAACATGCAAATGAGACATTCAAGGGAATCGGGTTGCAAAATTCTCCACCATGTAAACAAAATTGTGCAAAACCTTTTACAATAGTAGACTTTGAAAGATGCCCTTTAATTCAGCTGATTCAGATTTTCGCCTTAGTTATCAAAATGCAGACTTGAAAAGTGAAAAATGTACCTGTAGGACCTGTCATGACTTGGGACAAAACCTCATAAAATTATTCTCTGCAGTATGCTTTACGCCAAAAGAATCATGAAATATGTAAGGGGGGAGGGAAGAATCAGCCTGCAGCATTTGGAGCAACTAAACTTGTGGGATGCTGACCCATATCGCAACCTGTGGTACAGGCGTACATGTACAATCTTGTGTTTTCATTTCACATTGGCATGATACATGTACATACCGGTACGGAACACATGCCAGTAACACACCAGTACTTGTTCAAGTACATGTACTGTACATGACACTGATATTTGTACATGTGTGGTACTTACTGCAGCTCTCGGTACAGTACTGCTTCTACAATCCCTGCACCCACAAAATAATGCAATGATAACAGGTCTGTGCATGGGTGTTTTCCCTTTTCCACTGAACTCAAACTGGATCATGTATCTGGGTGAGTCATGTGAGTTGATCAACAGTACCTTTACACGTAAATTCCAAGTGCTACATGTATGATTAAAATGAGACAAAAAATGAAGGGCGTGTGGAGTCATAGCCACAAGTTATAGCCACAAGTTCACATAGTACAAGGCCTGGAACCGAAACATACATCTCCATAACCTGGTTTTGTATTGTACCAGCATACATGGCATACATGTACATGTACAGGGGTCGAAATTAGCGGTAGTCCGCTAGCCCGAGGCTAGTGGTTTTAGTGGGAGGACTAGTAGTTCCTACTTGTCGGTAGTCCGACGGGCTAGTGCCTTTTTTAGAGGGGGCATGAAAAGAAATACACACCGTAAATGTAACACCATGCCGTGCAGAGGTATTTTGATGGCAGATGCATGTACATGTACATTTGTACAGCCTACCGTTACACTGTAGACACAACGGGTTCTTTCCATACACAACACGGCCAATGCGTACATGCATTCACGTTGAGCTAATACTCTACACACGTAGGCCAGCCACATGACATTGTACGCATCATACAAGTGTACGTGTGGATTTCACGGTACCCCATACACTTCAACGATATATTGTGCAATGAGAAAAAATGTTTTCTATTAGGCTATTGCGAAAATAATCCAGCGTTTTGTCCAATCAGTCTGCGTGTTTGAAGCGATAACAATAGTCTTTCCAGCACGTAAGATTGATTTCTGCTGGCTGTTACTGAAAAGAATGAAACGATTCGACCAATCGCATTGTGCGTTAGAAACAATACAATTTTCCGAGCGCACATGGATCGATACCGTCTTTTCGGATTTGCGCAATTTAGGAAACGATTTGAGTGCCAAAAATCCAAAAATTAATTATTTTAGTTGGGCTATTAGCATTTTTGTAGGACTACTGAAAAACTCAAAGGACTAGTAAAATAATGATATTACTAGTCCTGTAGGCTACCATAGAAACCAAGTTAATTTTGACCCCTGATGTAGAGCCAGTGATTTTGCGTTTCAAAAATGGGTATTTTCCGTTTCGCCAAATCCTGAATTCTGCTTCAGAAATTCAAATTTCGCTTCAAGCATGAAAAAAGAGAGCAAGTTATAAATTATGCATGGAAACCATATTTGCCCAACCATCCCCCAATAAAGAAAAGAAAAGAAACAAATCGAGGTAGTATGCTAGAAATACCGGTACATGTAATCTGCCATGTGTCCATCTTTTTTGTATAATTTTCTGCAGTGAAAATTGAAACCAAAAATTCCACATGATAAATGCAGCACCCCCAACGCTTGATTGCCAACCAGCGCGATCTTCAAAAACTTGCTACGATTAATAAATTGACAATTCATCATTCCTATATAAAATCAGATTATATTTAAATACATGTACATGTACAGTGAAGTCATAGAGCCAGTCTTGCATGCAGCAGTCGTTGATCACAACATATTAATGTTGGACATACATGTAGATCTGCCATTTTACATGTACTGTATTTGGCAGTTGTGCGACAAAATTCAGAAAGTTAATGCATATTTGTGACTGAAAACTTTGCTTTTCATCGAACACTTCCGAAGGCCCATTTACATAACTACTGTATGGTGCACCAAGCTCACTAGGTTTCATTTAATTCAAGAAAATTGCAATTAGTCTTCTGTTATGCTGCCATGGTTTGATCAATTCACCATGCGGTACTACTAGCCTTGTCTCAAGGCCCATGTGCGGTTTCACAGACTGAATTCCCCACGTGTGCAATAAGCATGTGTGAGTATAAACTTGTTTGTGACTTTAGATTTCATTGCTAGTATGGTGTAGGTGTGAACGGCCAATGTGTGTACATGTACCATACGGCGCCGCTGCTCTGTGGTGACCGCCGCTGTGCTGTGGTGACCACCGCTGCACAATTGGGGCTCCTGCACACCGTAGAGCTTGAAAGTATCAGTACTGGCATGGATGACCCAATCATATGGTGGAGTGGTGCAATTTAGCATGTTTCCAGCATAATTTGTCCATTACAAGCAAGCATTTTAAAAGGGTTTGGGAGGCATTTATTTATAGTACTTTGTGGAAAGTTTTCTTTACTTTTTAAGCCATTCTTAGTGGGAAATTTTGCAAGTTCCGTTTCAAGCAGTGGATTCCGTTCTAAAGTGTTGATTCGGCAAATTCTGACTGTTTTCTGGAATGTTGGAAAAAATCATTGGCTCTATAGATGTACACGCATCTGCAATTACCAGTAGCTTGAGTAACTCATGATATCTGCAAGTTTTGTATTGATACAAAACTTGCTTTGTGACACCCACAAAGTACCTCTCAGAGTCTGTATGTAACACATATGGGACATGAAAAATCAGTGACATTGCAGTGTTTTTTTCACTTCGAAAGAACGCTGCTCTGTGGCAATAGTCTAGGAGTTAGGCCCAAAATGCCCGTTTTGCTATGTTGGAGTAAAGCACTTAATTAGGCGGCTCCTTTGCTTCCCAGATGTCATCCACACAGCATGTGGTGAGGTTGGTAGAGGTGGACATTAACACTGAGAAAAAGATTCACACCTCACTTGAGAATGAAGTCTTGAGTAATCAATTGATTTCACATTGGAAGGCGTTTACGTTCTTCTCAGCTTCAGCCCTAATCATGAATTTCAAGATGTCATGAACATTCTGGGGCTGGAGTACTGAAGCCAACATGCATCTTGACTAACCAAACAACACTGGAATGCAAAAATTCATTCACAGTATGTTGATTCCCCCCCTCCCTGTTTTTTTTTTATCATGGGGGCTCCACATTTATAAAACAATTTGCCCTGCCAGTGTGATTTATCAAGTCGCACATCACACATGCTCAGTGGTTTATTCTGGGTTTATAGGCTGATCTGTATCAGCAGGTTTTATGATGCTTGCTTTGGTTTCCAATGCTGTATGTTATAATCGTCTGCAGTAAATCTGCAGCCAAAGACAAGATACCAGTAGGGTAGTTAAAGACATAGCAGAACTTTCATTTTTCAATGTGAAACCACAAGCTTCCAGCTGAATTTATCTAGCCTTCTGCATGTTTGTTGCTCATTTGAATATTTCTTGATACTGTTACTAGTACCATACCCTGTGTGAGTGCAATTTTTATTTTTAATGTCATTCATTCACTGGCGCTTTTCAGTTTTCACCTTGAACAGTAAATCAATAATTTTCTGTATATGAATCTGCGTGTTTTGGATTTGGTACCTATACATGTACGTGTAAATGTAGATTATAAATCTCTTAGCTTAATTTATGATTAATTGTTACTGTTTTCATCGTTGTGGATAAGTGTACCTCTAAAACAGTGTTTAGCCAATTATCAGCTGATGTGTGATTGTTTATGCAGGAAAGGATATTTTTTCCGGTACATTGTGTAAATTAAAGAATATTACAAAATGTTTAAAATGCTACCTGCACTTGAAATACTCTAAAAATCAAACCAGTTTTGAATCATTATAAAGATGAACAAATAAATTGACTGGAGCGGGATTTGAACCCGCGACCTGTGGAATACCATACTGCTGCTATACCAACTGAGTTATCCAGCCCTACATTGTACATGTACATGTACGTTAGCGGCACTTCCCATTTGTCAGTCTTTTTGTTTGGGGGCACTAGGCACAAGCAATCAAGAGGCAGTTTTGAGCAAAATTTTGTTGTAAATCTTTCAGGTACACTGTATTATGAACTTGTGATGGAAATTTGCGCTGTTATGAAAGAAATCCATGACTGTGATGTTCCTTCAGAGGCACCATACTTACAGTACATTTTACTATGGCACGTATGGGTGTCAAGATACACTGCAATAGTCAAATTGTTCCTTTTGAATCTTGACTAAAAATGTTTACAGTTACTTAAGGTCACCTCAAACACACTGATACAGTATGAGCCTGTCAACAGGAATTTTTGTAACTGGATGTATTTTGCTTTGGTTTCAGAATGCATTGCATAGTTTAGAAGATATCAAAGCTGCAACCAGCAGGTCGCCGGTCGGTGATAATCGAGTGTACCGTTCACATCAACGAAGTAGTAGTGGACACAGATCACGCCACATATCCTTTTGAAATCTTCATTTCAGTGAACATTGCTACCTGAAGGAATTGTTTGTTGTGTTGTCTTAAGAGTTGTTCGAAGTGCATGACATGTACATGTACGTCCAAGAAAGTTATACATGTACTTTGACACAGGACACGTCGTTATTTTTGAGAGGTCTCGACTCTTTTGCAAGCATGAATGGCTGGTACAAACCCACATGTACATGTACATACATGTATCAGCCTGAATTCGTAACTTTAGAGGCCCTTTTCCAGTGACATCCTGGCAGCCTTGAACCTACTTGCCAATATGTGTATCAATTCGGCAGTCAGAATCCCTTGCCATGTACCACGTCTTTTCTTACAGTGTTACATGGTTTTATGGCAGGAATAAAGTAACACAGGAAGATGCAAGGGAAGAATATTTATTTGCTCGCCTACTTGTACCCACATGTAGATACATGGACACGTATGTACATACTGTACATGTATGCATCTGTGTTGATTTTCCACTAGCCAGTTGTTTTGTTCTGTTGCCCATTGTAATCGCGCCTCCTTAGTTTTGGAACTCCATCACCCACCATTGAAATCATCTCAAATTTTAAGTCAAACCAAAACCTTTCATATGTGATGTGCCGGTAGATTTACTTGCACTCTTACATGTTCATGTATATGTAAAGTACATTGTGTACATGGGCTATATTCGAGGGCATTTAACCTCAACCCCAAAGGATACATGGAAAATTGAACACATATATCACTGTGTTGGAATTCTCGGACTGAAGACTTTCATTGGCCTACATGTACAATGTATTTGGCTACCCCATGAAATTTTAGATTTGATGAAGCTGAGATTTCTTTCATACCACCGGTACATGCACCACTATCTCTTGTTAGTAGTGAAGCAGTGAGGGTTTGAATTTCACAAAGGCAATGACCAGGTGGCCTGAGAAGTCCTGTTATGATTCCAGACAACAGTTTTTCATTTGTTGTGAGTGGAATCTAGTGAGTGAAAAGTGTTACGTGTACAGTGTTCAGAGCGTGAAATTACTGTCGAACATCGGACATTTTCCGAGCACTTGTTGTGTTTGTCCGAACAAAATCAAAGATGCTCGGACAAATTGTCCGACCAACATATCAATAACAATTTTTAAAATATCAACACAATATATGGGATTATGGCGTCTGATTTATTATCAGTTTTGTGTTAGAATTATGTTAATTACGCCCAAGGTATTCATCAGGGCTGATCGTTCATCACCAGCCCATGTCACCTAGTGCCACGCGTGTATACATGTACATGTACTTTACTTGCACAGACATGAAATCGCCCCATAATACTTTGCGCAGTCACTGTGGTGAAAACATGTGCATGAAACTCTATGCATTAAATGAAGCTGCTCTAGTTCCCGCCGCGCCGCACCTGTGCAAAGGATGCATGATGGAACTGTAGCAATCAGTACCAGTCTGTACTGTACATGTACTGAATGTACTGTACATAAACACTCTTCATCAGCCCTACACGTCGCGAATGCAAAAAGGCTGCAAGCCGGAACGACATCGATGTTATGCTGCAAGAGGTTTTCTGCAAGTTAATTCACATAACTTGGTCTCTTATTTATGTCTGTATTTTCTGTGTTCATGAGTGTAATTTGAGGTTGTTCTGCTCATGGCGCAAGGTTTAACGTCCGCTGGTCTGGATACATGACACATGCTTACCACGCGATACACGGATATTGTTGGCCAGTTAGCCGTCGTGACTGCCATCATGATTGTGTGAATTGTTCATAATTTTCTTGTGAATTGCAGAAATTTTTACATAGACATTAAGACAGGTGTTCATCACTTTCTGAGATACTTTTGGAGGCTGTGGCCCCCCCACTGATGCCATTCAATCAACACAAAATTTCCCTCAAACAAAAAAAAATGTTCCGACCTACCGACTCAATTTTTGAGAGGCGCGCATGCACAGCACAACTACATCATGCATTTTTTTGGCCTACATGTTAAATAACAATAATCGTGGATTCGGAGAAATCTTTGGCAAGTGTTGATCCCGTTCGAGCAAGCAAATTTATGACATGGCCTGCCTGATCGTGCAAAAAAAAAAAATCATCGCAGCCTGCGCCCGAACAAGGATTGCTCAATGCGGCTGTGTGTGCGGTTCTGGTAGGACCAGAAAAAAAAAGTGAATTTCGACCCCTGACACTGCACGTTGCAACTCTACCTTTATATGGCAGATCAAAAGCTGGTAATGGCAGAACAAAATTGATTGTGTTATGACATTTTGTCTGAGCACTTTTTTGGTCTAATTTCGCGCTCTGATGTTCCTGTACATGCACTGTCAGTCAGAGGGTGGAGGTTTGCCTGTACGACTGCAGATAGATTCACATTTGAAAGTTTGTTGACTTCATCCCATGGCCCCATTTTGTGTTATGACGATAGAGAGGTTTATTTCTTAACTTGGTTTCTTTCTGAAGGGAGTGAACATGTACATGTAGACTCCTTTCAACTGGTACTTGGTGACTGTTCCTTTGATGTGGCAAGGAACCATTGAAAAACATCAAGTGTAATCCCTCTAGTCTAGTGTTGTCAGTCCATACGTACATGTACACGTGTACCTACATGTACATAGGTACGTGTACCGGTACATGTACTAAGCCAGCTGTTCAGATACAGTTGTGATACATTGTACATCATGGTGCATAGCCACCAGTCTGCAGGTAGTGTGCTTCATGTATGAGTGAGTTAAAGTGATTTGGAGGATTAAAAATATCAATACTTCTAACCAGCATGATTTGTATTCTTGGGATTGTCTGAGGAAGTGCTGGGAAAGGAAACCAACAGAAAAAAATATTTAGGGGAATACAGACAATTTATTTGTTTCCACTTCACTGCCAGGGTGGGACCCACCTGCTTCATAATTGGGGGCCAGTGTTCCTAAATGGGGTCAGCCGAGTGGAAACCAATGCCACTGTAAATGCATCTGATATTGCCACAGTGTGTCCTGCCAGCTGTAGCCGATGTTGTCTGATGGATGGACGTCTTGTAAGTACTCCAGAAATGAGCAAGAGTGTGCTTAATCGTTCTTTTAGTGAGAAATTCTGGTGTGTGGTCGGGCGGCAGAGGATTGAGTGAACAGTTCAGTGAGTTCAAAAATACCTCCCTAGGCCACCAACTCTGAAAGTGCACAACTTAATTAACCCAACCTCAATTACCCGTCGGGATGTAGCCCCTCCAGAATTGATAGTTAATCCTGCTGTGAGGTGCATTAATTGCACAGCCTGTCCTCTAAGGGGTAATTGCCGAAACATTGAAACGTGAATCATGTACATATTGCCACCGGAGTTCAGGTCTGCATAGTAAACTATTTAATGCTATTGTACATGTACTTGTACTTGTATCGGATTTTAGTTACACACCAGCTATTTTGATATTCACGTTGCATAAATTTGCAGAGATGCATGATCATTAGACTTCAGCATTGACCTGTTGACCTGCTTGTGTTATTTGTTCATGTTGGCCTCATTCTGATGAACAAGTCCATCAGCTTGAGATACCTGTACATGTATGCGGCACACACGTGTATTGGTACATTTAAATTTCACTTCCTGCGCACCTGCTTTTCACAGAATCACATGTAATACATGTTGACGCATACATGTAGGCAGGCACTACAAATTGTGTGAAAGTTTTCTTTTAATCATGTGAGAGGAAAGTATATTTCAGCATTGCAGTGCCCAGTTGCTGTCACCTTAAGTAGGCTTGATTTTCTTGGGTTATGAAGCATTACAAGATTCATGGGGTGCATGTTACATGTACATGTGTATACATGTACATGTACAGTATCTGCCCTCCCCCAGTTCATTTGATACATACATGTACATGTACAGGTATATGGCTAGAACAGGTTTTTTTTGGTACCCCCTAGTATGTGATTAGCCATGTTGTGTTTGTTGGTTGTTGTCTGTGAAATGTCGTGAAACTGATTTTATAAGATCCGGACTTTGCATTCTCCCAATTTTCATTTTTTTTTATGCATGCTTTTCATTGACTAAAGGTAAGAAACTGTTCATTCATGTACTGCAGTTTGAGTGAACTAATGAGGATACATGTAACTACAGGGCAAAGCTTTTCTTGGCATGTAACTGTCCATCTGCCGTACATGTATGGATGTTACATCCCACTGAGTGTATCTTGCCCAAATGCCTCAAATTACACGTATGTACATGTACAATAAGTATTTCAGTTGTATGTACATTGTAAATCCGTTCTTAGGCGGTCAAGATCTGAAAGTTGAGGGGGGTGGGGAGGGGGGTTGGAGAGGAGGGTTGGAGAAATCCCTGTTGTGAGAAAAATTCTACTCATCAAGCCAACCTTGGTTCTTTGTTTAGCAGCATACCCTAGCAGCTTAGCCACGTTAGTAGCGCACCAACTTAGCCACCTCTGGTACCGTACTAGTATAGACATTGCCATCTCAACAACTAGACAACTTTATATTTACCGCCGGAAAATCTTTTGCCTTGTGAAACGAGCCATTGTACATGTACATTTATTAGAAATGTTCCTGTGGTGTTTGTAGATTTTTCTCTCTGACCCGCATTTTGCGAGTCCCCCTCCCCCAAATTTTGATGCTGTGCTCTGTATACACTTTTTTTTCAACAGACAGACATGATACGTGTAGAAAACTACACATAGTATGCTTTGTGTATGATTTGAATAATTTATGTTGGGCTCATAATCAAGGAGTGTATTCACAAATTATACCCATGATTGTACAGACACTCGCCCCCATGTGTCAGTGATACATGTACATCCGATAAAAAGTAGATTCAGGGCATGTTCTGTTACTCAGTTGTCACAATGCAGACTGCCAATTTGTCATTTTCTAAAAGGGATTGGCAGGTAATCATCCATCAATGTTGCATTTTTATTGAGAAGAGATGACTTGAAAGCTCGTTGCCGTTTTGCAGCTGTGGTGCTGTAAATCATGGGAATGAGTCTGCTGTGTAGGCCCA